AATTTTAAGCTTAATAACAATTACTGCAGCAGAATACTGAGTGTCACGGGGAGGGGAAAGGGTTGAGTGTTCTGCGTGTGCATTTGCATTTCCATTCACATCTATCCGCCAGGCATTTACACCGCAGTAGAGTATGACTTGCCCGTTCGTAAGCCAGCTTATTTATTTCAGCGCTCAGCTTGTGCAAACACTTTTGAATTCAAATTTGTCCAACAGGTTCCGATGGCGGCAGTTGTTGCTGTCTGGTATTGGCAGTTGAGAGTTGATGAATGTGGCAAGTTTAAGGCCGTAGAGGGGGACTGAAGTTGACTAATTGGAAATAGCTTAAAGAATTTTATAAGGAAAAGTAAAGGAAGGACGGTGTGGCAGAGGGATATACCATGTATAATTTTCTCACTCGACATAGTGCATTCTATGGCATATCATATCGCCTGTGAAAACACAGCCAGCGGAGAAGAAAACTTTCGCTTTTGTGTATATTGCTTTGTTTTGCGTTCGACATTCGAGTTGCGTTCACTTCAGTTTACACAGGCTTTTACTTATATATTATCTAACAGTCATGTGCTTCCAAGCGAGCACTGACCATCATTTCTTCCGAGCAAACATGTCGGTCATAGGATTGTAGGCCAAGAGCTTTATAAACTCAAAAATATAGATACTGAGCAAGCACTTGGAAAATAGTTGGCAGGTCCCTCTGCCCCTTTCTTGCGAGAGGGACCGGTAAACCAGGGACGAATCCAGGAGCTGGGACTTGGGTGGACCCTTTATTTACTTGCAAGGGTAACAAAAAATCACTGCACCTTGTAAATGCCTGTGACGAGCACAAGTTGGATGACACTTATAAATTACAAATTTGAAAGTCACGTTGTGGGGCCACAAGAGGAGAAGGCTAAATAATTACCCCTGGCCGGAGTCCTTCATAAGACGCAGAACCTGTGCCAGTGACATTGAGCTTGTGATGAGCATTTAAGGAGTAAACCACCTTAGCAGCGACTGATGGCTCGTACTATAGCGCCTTGGCCCCCACAACAAAGGTACAATTTCGTCCACATGCGTTCCGTAAGTGGGCGAGACCCACAAGCATTACAATAGCGAAACCATCACCGACTTATTACTTTAATTACTTTAATTACTTTTCTGTTGCCATTTTTCGAAATGTCAATCGTCGTCTCTTTTTCGGTCGTTAGACTGCGTGCGCCTAAAACTGATCCAGACCGTAATCCATCAAAAGTTGGCTTAAGAACGATTAAAGGCCCAAGTGCCTATGATACACTTTCATTCTCAAAGCCGACACTCAAAGTTTAAGGCGCCAACAAAAATTTCTCGAGGGGATACCCCTCTTAAAACTGGTTAGAAGAAATGAAGAATTTAACAAGAGCCGCCAGAGACCGAACTGAATTCATCGGGTATGAGTCACGTCCGGGGTATTCCACCGACCTAATATGAATGTCAGTCCATGTGGGAAGTTCGTAAAATACACCTTGTGTATTAACTGAGTCGCGGCCGGAAGTTAATTATTATATAAAAAACTAAGTAATGCCATTTTTTGCCCCTTAAAAAGTGTTTTAAAAATTTATTGGCCTGATACGTTATTTTTATTTTTTTTAATATTTTTCGGACAATTTAAATTGGCGTACATGGCCCGACCATTCCTTTATTATTGCGATTTTCACTAAAGCTTCATGATTATTTCTTATAATTTAATATTTGTTTTATATTTACTTTATCAGTTGATTGATATTTTTGTTGATTAGCTTTTAAAAATTTTATGACTGAGTTCTGGTCGCATGTTTTTCGATTGCTTTTTATATATACATAGCTTATATTTTCAATGTGTATGAGTACATTGAAAAGAATCATTATATACAAATTCTGAGCTGTTAAAATATACATATGTACCAAACAACAATAACAATTGTTACTGACTTGCTTGAAAATAGGCTTTTAAGTTTGTTCGGCTGATTCATTTGCCGCAATTGGGTTCTTTATTTTTCCCTGGGAAAGAATTTTGCGTATTCCACTTGAAATTGTTGCGAGGGCTGACAATACTTTGTGTAGATTCCGTAATATTTGTTCTTTAATTTTCAAAGGGATCAATTGCCCTGTCTCTGACATTCTCCAGCTCACTGAGTCCAGTCTAGTCAATCTGCTCAACCAGAGTGACGTGTGGCGGGTGGGCTACATTGATTCGTCCCTCGTGCACTTGTCAATGCAACTCTCCGTCAATGGCACACCGATTTCGATCTCCATCCGGAACGTGTTTCCCTGCCCATGTTGGCCGGCTCTGAGTTGTTATTGTCACACCTCACTTTATTTTTTCTCCTTGCTTTGCTTTAATTTTGAAATTTTTTGTTGGCACACAAAAATTTTAATTTACTTTTTAATTTTTTTTTGCACACAACGAGCTGACGAAATGTGTCGAAAAGGCCGCCGCGAGAGCAGTAAATATTTTGTTTATTTTTGCAAACGGAAACCAGTTCAACACCGACATATGGCGTTTTATTACAGACCAATAAAAATGTGTGTAGTCAATACTGGCTGAAACTCCCCGTTTCTCAGAAAACCTTTAGTCAGTCATAACCCTAGCAGAAGTCAAAAGTCCCTTCGTCAGCGTTCAACAATGACGCATTCGGGGCTAACAAATAGACAACTAGTCTATTTGAAATGCAAATTCAGGGGGTCCAAATACTGTACAGGTAGTAAAACGTGTTGTTTTTATACAATTTTCTTTGGCATTTTTCCAGAACTTCAGCTGTTCAGTTGTTCCAATAACTAAACTCCTAGCCCTGAAAAATTGTTCACCTTCAACATTTTCAGGATTGCACGAGCAACAAATTTCGTTAATTAAAATTGATAAAAGTATTATCTGTCACGCAAGCCAGTGATTGACTTAAGAATATTGGCACTTTATCAGCATTGGGGGGCTGGGTTATCAGTCGAATGCCGAAAACGAGCTCGCATTTCCATTCGAAATATTACCTAGCAATCATCATTAATGGTACTATAGAGTCATATTTCCCCTAATGTGGTCAATGGTCTCTTCAAACCGTAGAATGAAAATAAATTGTCATCTTGTCAGTAAGGCGGGCGAAATTTGCAGAATTTTTAAGTGGTCATTAAGGCGGCTTCTTTGCTCTTTAAGTCTTTGCTGAGTTACTTTTGAGCCAAAACGAAATGTGAAAAGGCTTTGCCAGAGAATTGCTGAGTCGGAGTAATTGAATGGTCAAAAGCATGGATCATGAAATACATACATAAATCACCGAACTGAAGTTTGTTAGGCCAACTTTGCTTACTGTCCAAAACCACGATAATGCTTTTGGCTGTAGTCTGTCATACAGACTGTCAAAAAATTAAAAGCAATAAAATATACAAAGCAACCTTCACTTCTGTAGCAGAAACGTGGATTTGATGCGTTTTATTAAAATCAAATGAACAAGTAAACGGTGTCTAGGCGTGCATCTATTTTAGTTCCTAGCCGAGGAATTTACTAAACAATTAAAGTCGTCTAGCAAATGGGCAAACAAGTGTTAAAAATGCCCCTAATTCTTGTAACCCATAAGCCACAAAAAATGAGTGGGCTTTATTTGCAAGCGGAACTTGAATCTTTCAATTCTGGACTTCAAATATTTACCTTTTCAATTAGCGCTGTGTCAAATGCCGAGTAAAATCACGATATGGCAGCGAAGAGAGCACAGACTGCTATGCCGTTTTCGTTTAGTGATCTACGGATCCATAAATGTGGAGCTGTCAGGCCCAGCCCAGAAAGCATTGGACCTGGTTTTGAATTGTTTGGCCAACACATCGCGTTCCAGTGTCACTCCGGCGGTGCGCTCATTTTCCTTTTGACATTTGAACGCATCTATAGCGCTTTCGAAATAGAAAAGTAGAATATCCGCCTGGTAAAACGGGTTTCAAAACTACCTAACTACATGAACAGAAGTTGTGCCCGTACACACGGACAAACATACATACGTACCTGAGCAGCGGGTTGAAAGTTCAGCTGCTATTGAACGCTCGATATTGTAATTGCTAGCTCCCTCGCCCTCATTCACTTCTTCTACACAGGGAACAATTGGGATTCGCTTTGGCTGTTTTCTAATTTGTATGGCGGGTTGCAGAAACTTCCAGCTAGAGTCTAATCGAAGATCTGACAAAACGTATGATTATTTTCTTCTGTGTATGGTTAGAGTAATGTTATGGATAAAAAGGTGAACTTGAAGTGGGAGGCAGCAGCGTGACTCTTTTGTTTTGGTTAGTTTTTTACAGAGTTCATACGTTCGTTTTGGATTTTCGTACTTTGCGGTGGCGAAATTAAAAGTAACTCGCCAAGCCCGCAGCAAACACAGATACAAACACTTACACAGATTCAAGTACACATTCATTGAGCGAAAAGTTTATCCGAAGGCAACACAGTCGTGTTCAGCAATTTAGGACAAACGGCCAATTGAAAGAAGGTATATCTTGTGAACTGTCAAGAGATTCTGGTATCTTTATCATCGTTACGCGACCTTGATTCTTTCCCAGCCACGGCTGTTAAATCGCAACCCCAACTCTGAACAAAGGCGAACGAACCAAAAGTTGACCTGAAATTCCAACTAAACCAATCAACCGAGCATGAGCTAAAACAAAAACCAAATCGCATTGTTTCTGCCTTTCCTTTTTCGGTTTCTTTGTACTTTGGGGTTTTTTTTTTAAATGTGGTAGCATCAAAACATTTGCAAATTTGCTGGCATAAGAAACACGAAAATCATGCTAAAAACGGAGATCAGGAGAGAAGGTTCTTATTAATGATGGAAGCCAGCGTCAAAGTTTGGTTTGGCAGAAAGGGTCAGTGGCTGGTGAGACGATTTTGCATCTTTGAAATTCCGTTGAAATGGTTGAGCTTACATATCAACATAGCAACCGCATTATTTGGATAGCACGCAGAACAAAATCCTACGAAATTTCGCCCCCATGAATACCCTTTTTATATATTTAATATTCCACTTATCTATTTGCAGAAACTTTACGCTAAGGCCATTTACGATAATTATGCGGACACGTCGGACGAGCTGCCCTTCAAGAAAGGCGACATCCTCACCGTCCTTGAGCAGGACACGGAGGGCTTCCAGGGGTGGTGGCTCTGCTCCCTGCGCAACCGACAGGTGAGTTGGGTCCTCTGGTCTCGCGTCTTTGCACAAGTTTTCCATTTCATTATAAGTGACTGGAAGGAACTGCATTTTTTTGAGCTTAATTTTCGAAATTGTTTGCTTGGGTCTACTGGGTGGTCATCAGAACGAGGTTTGACTTGAGTTCTGGTTAAAGAGATAGAAGCTTTTTGTTTCGATTTCAGTCCTTAATCAGTTACTCAGTTTTGGGGGTTCGATGGAACTGTACCTTAAAATTTCATTTGCTTCGGATTCCGAGATATCAAACTAACTCTTTAACGCTAATAGGACAAATCGAACCTAAGCGATCACACAGTCTACATAACGCTATATAAATCTCAAATCTCATGGCTCCAGCAAGCCATGAACTATGCCCCTAGAGGAGGTATTCAGCCGCGTATTTAGATGCTCACATACCTGCTGGAAAGCTATAAAAGACCAAGAGCACAAAGAGAAAACTACTTTTCAAAGTTGTGCAAAATTGTTACATTTCTGCACGTCGATCGGCAGCAATTTTTAATTAACAACTGAATTGGCGCCGCTTAAGCAAAAAAGATCTCGTTTTTGAGGGGGCCGACGGCCGGCGATGGTGTCAAAACATATATCAAAGTGGAAATCAGAAGTGCTGGGTGAGATATGGAAACATGAACGCGATAGCGGTACGCTATACATATGTCGGGCAATTGTCGCTAATTAAAAAGTAGCCGAGCCTTTTAATGGAAACAATTAACCCAAAAACGGCCAATTGAGTGCCGACAAGAGCAACAACGTGTGGCATAAATATTAATAGCAACATAAATAACGGTGTCAGAAAGCGAAATCAGCTTTTGGCACACACTTTTAGCTGAAACAGATGTTGACAAGATTTTTAGGGATGTCGTAATATTAAAAAAATATCGTATCGATGATAATTTTTTTTATCAAAAAAATTAAATAATGAAATGAAATGAAATTAAAATAACATAAAAAAATATCGATATATTTGATATTTTCAATATTTTTTTTTTCAAATAAAATTTGTTTTTTCCCCACAATAAAAATATAAAAGTTTCTTATTAACTTCATATTTCTTCTTTAACTGGATATTCAATATCTAATACAGATAATAATACAGATTGTGTTTATATAAATTAATGCTACTTATTTCCAATACTTCGAGTTAAGTGATTTTAGGAAGAATCGTTGTGTTATATGTATGTATGTCAGTCATGATTACTTGCAAGATCACATTGGCATCCCTCTTGAACAAATAACCAGGCAAATGTTATTCATACAAGTGTTTGAAATGTTATAATATTTATTTTAAAATATTTATTCATAAAAAATATTTAAAATACAATATAAAATTAATGTCGAGCTGTAAGAAATTATATAATCTATTATTTTGTCATAATTATATTAGTGAGTGAAATAGTGAGGTCTTTAAAGTGAGTAGTAAAAGCCTGAGTAAATAAAGCCTGAAGTATGTTTTACTTACTGTTGGAGCTCATAGTTATTTTAATATTTCTGTAGGAAAAATATTTTCTTGTAGCCCTATAATTCCCAACTAGTTCTAGTGCAGACTAAGGCATGTCTTCTAATTTAAGCTCTCTTACCGGTGTAGTGTATGTGTAGTGTATGTACCGGTGGAACTATGTTGGTATGTATGTATGTATGCATGTATGTATGTATGTATGTATGTATGTATGTATGTATGTATGTATGTATGTATGTATGTATGTATGTATGTATGTATGTATGTATGTATGTATGTATGTATGTATGTATGTATGTATGTATGTATGTATGTATGTATGTATGTATGTATGTATGTATGTATGCATGTATGTATGTATGTATGTATGTATAATATTTAAAATATCATAAAAAATATCGATATATTTGATATTTTCGATATTTTTCTTTTTCAAATAAATTGTTTGTTTTCCCCACAATAAAAATATAAAAGTTTCTGTTTTGCTATGAGAAAACTATATATTAGGGTTGACATCTTGTGGTTATCACACTATTTTATTTTAATACCCTAATTGGATCTCTTTTCTGTACTACCCAACTAAGCATATTCTCATTGCTCTATATATATTTCAGGGTCTTTGTCCGGGCAACCGGTTGCGCGTCTTGAACTCGTACGACTCGGGATGCTTCTCTCCCTCGCCGGCCAGCTCCCCAATTCCATCCCTGGCGGCCAGCACGGCCACGCTGAACAGCTCCATCTGCTCGGCGGAGATATACGAGAACGGTTCCATCATCAGCGCGGTGTCGTCCTCAAACTCCAATTCGGCAGGGGCTAGTAGTGGACTCGGTGCAGAGTCGACGTCTCGCGGCTCGAGGAGATCGTGGCACGCCTCGCCGACAAAGGTATGTTGCTCGTCCTCATACCGGATGACTTGTCAATTTCCCAATTTTCCGCTCCGTTAGCCTTTTTGATGGGAAGCAGGCAGTCGGGAGGAAGTGCATCTTGATTGATTTCGTTTTTTTGCAAATTGTACATCCTCTTGCGGCTACTGAATTATGATATTTGTCAGGAAAGTGAAAGAAAGTAATTTCTCGGCTCCTGCAACTCGATCCGTCGCTCCATCAGTTCGCTCAGGGGGGACCATCGCTCATCCATCTGCATCTCCACGAGTGCGATGCCCTGCTTTTTCCACGACAACTGCGTGTCGTAATTGTGCAATTAATAAGAGTTGCGAGAGCCATGCCTTGGTTCATGGATATAGCCTCGTCCACAGGGGTCTGCAGCTGTCCAACTGGTTTCCCCTTTGCATTCGACTCGAAATTTGACAATTTGTCAGCTGGACATGCGTTTTATTTGCATTTCTTTCACTTTGATTCCATTTGATTTGCAAATTAAAGGAAACAAACAATTTAGCATAGAAGGAGCACGACTGCAGATTTGAGGTGTTGGTGATCTGTTGTTTATGATGATGTGAGACTTAAAGATCTTCAAGGAACTCAGTACAGGAAGTGATTACCTATTAAATGAGGATAAAAAACGGGTAAAACTACTTGGCCGACGTGACCATTAGCATCCAAAAAGCTCGCCGACCTTTGGAAACCTCGACAGACGCCCACATTCATGGGCGATGGTACTCTTGGAAAAACTTTCGCTTTCTCAGCGGACTCGCTGAATGACTGACTCGCAGGCAAATCAAATAAAATGAAACTCAAATTACAGACTCGTAAACATTTTCTAGCATTATCGGCAGCTATCAATCTTAACTGGAGGCAAGTAAGACCATAAATTCAAATTCGGTCTGAAGGAGGGCCAGCGATTTGACCGCCCCGCTGAACATTGCACCGGGAGATTTGCTAGCGGAGGCATAGATTTAGAGAAACCTTTTGCCTCGAAAAGCTCTGCACTAAATACCCAAAGCTGCCTTTTGTTCGTCTCGTGTTCGATTTTATTGCGTCCGAAAAATCTCATAACACCAGTCTGTCACTTGAAGGCGTCAAAAGTCTTGTGGAGGATGGCTCCAAACATACACTTGACCGATAATGCGATTGCTTGTAGAGGCAGATATTCCCAGTTGGTGTGATGTACCATTGACGTATTTCAGGGGGATGTATTGGAATGCTGCGACAACTGAAGAGGTTCGACAGGGATTTAGGCATAATCAGACATCTAAAAAGGTGAAATGCATTTGTAAAGTGTTAATTACGCAAACACAACCTGGTCTTTTTATTACCACCTTGGAACGGCCGTGCATGGCGACATTCTTCGAGTCAACCGAGAACGGAAATGTCTCGCGCACAGAGTTGCACAATCGTTGGGCAGTGTTGCTCAGATTCTTCTACCTCGGCCATCCCACATAGTTACACTTTATGGCTGGCGGGAAACTCGCTTGCACCGTTAGACGGCAGCCGCCGTCAGATTGTGTGACAATTTCGAGTTCCTTGAGCCCACATACAGACAGCTCCACAGCTCTGCAGGTCCAAAGCTCCATCGCTCCGTCTATCCCCTAAAACTCCATCCACCTCCGTCACGCACCGAGATGAAGCCAAACGAAACCGAGTCAGGTTGCCAAATGCACTGGTACGGGCAATGGCCAATGAAGATTTATGGCCAGATCCAAAACGAGCACAAAAGAGACTTTGCGTTTGAGCAAAACATGTCATTTTTGTTTTACTGCCCAAAAATGGTTAAAAATGCAGTCAAAGCGACAACAAAAACTCTTTTTTATTTCAAATTCTGCGGAGATTTGTGCGTGACCAAAGTCGGCGAAACTCGAAGACTACCGATTGCTTCGATTGGTATAGCAAACCGGATTCACTGCAAAAGCGGAAAAATAACCTCCACCAGTTGGCTTCCAAACAAGGTCGGTTCCCACCTGAAGCGGACACTGTAGTTTTCCCTAACATATCCCTTCGGAAAAACCGCTGCCTAATTATCATTTGCCATACAAATGCAGATTGCTTGTTTGGTTTCCTACGTGACAAAATGATGAGATTTTGAACGCACCGAGAACCAGAGAAATTCGTCGTCCAATCATAGCCCTTCAGTTTTGACGGCGCAGGCAGAAATGTGATGATCAGCCGAGAACTCAAATGAACATTGAAATGCAAGGAACAAGCTGCGAAACCGTGGAGATGATTATCTCGAGCATGCCACTGTATTTAGGTTTGGAATTTAAACAAGAACATAAAACATGACACTTTTTACACTCCCAGTATCTGGAATTACTCATAGCATGCGGGGTACTCGAACTACTGGCCATCAGGCATCAAGATGCAAGACGGAAAGAAGACCGCCTGGCGGACGGACTGTAATGCGATGTCTCTCTCTGATGTATGCCTTGGCAAAGTTGTCCATTTGCTACAACATTCACTTAGGCTCAACAAAGTGGAAATTTCCATCACTGAAAGGCAAGCAAAAGGCAGGGAAAAGAGATTCCTAA